AGCCTTGTCTGTCAGAATGCTGATGTGGCGTTGCTGGTTAGTCTTTCTGGGAGTGGGAAGCTCTGGCTACTGCACCCAGTTTATGTCAGTAGAGAGCTACTTGAACTCACAGAAAGGGAATGGAGCCCTGTTTGTTCCCTTTGCCCCGTTAGCAAACCACACATTTCGTACAGCTTTATTTATTTATTCTCTTAGTGTGCTGGAGGTCAGAAGCCTGACTGGGGCAGCCTTCTACCGGGAGGCACTGGGAAAGTGAGGCTTTTCTAGCCTAACTTCAACTACAGCTTGTAATTGTGTTCATTTATCTGGCTCCTGTTGTGACTCTGGATCTCCTTAGATAATCGGTCTCAGGGGCTAAAACCCCTCAACAAAGTCCTAAACCATGAATACAGCATTTTCTCTGCTCCTGGAGACCAGGCTGTTCCCATCTTAAGAGTCTATTCTTCTGCCCATAAGGACAAGGCTCTCCATGGGGTTTGTGGTTTCTGAGGTTTGACAGATTAACCTAGAGTGTGAAAGTCACTGTTCAGGCAAAGCTGCCCTGCTTCCTCCCTTCCTCTGTGGGTTGGGAGTGGCCTCTTAGAATATTTTCCGTACTCCGTGGAAAGCCCGGCTCTTATGGGAAAAGAGCTGGCTTACTCCAGCACTGGCCTGAGGGGAGAGCACGTGCTTTTAGGCATCCACAGTTATCCCTGTCTTTAATAGAAACAAAAAAAAATGCTCACTTCTAGCCCATCTTTGTCTCTTAGAGAAGACACTAGCAGAGGCTTCTGCAGTGTTCCTGACTCCATTGGGCTGTACCCTATGAGGTCATGATATCAGAGGAAGCCCAATGCAGTGAACAAGTTCTTATTTAAAGGGAAAAGGGGACCTCAGAGACACGAGTGCTCTATAGACATTTACTGGTTTTATCCTTTAAAATAGCTAAAGAGACTGGTGAGGAAAAGCAATGTTGCTAGCCAGCATCCTGGGGTCCCCTCACCTTCAGCCATTTCAGGGGACAGGTTATTTCCTTTCCTTGAGTCTCAGTTTCCTGGTCTGTGTGGTGAACTTGTAGACTGATTCCTTTGTGAGATCCTGAATAGTTCTTTTGCAACAGTACCAGAAAGTATCCATTCTGTTATAATGGCATCATGTTGGTGACAATTTAGCCAAAATGTTGCCTGTACTTAACACATTGCCCATGGTTTGTTGTTCTGTGAACTCCACATTTAAGTCTTTGCCTTATTGTTAAGCATAAAGGAGAAAAAACTCTCCAGAGAAAAATCAGGCATCCTGGGTGCCCTGGGACCATTACAGTCTGCTCTCACCTGAAGGATTTCACAGGGAGGGAAGGAGGGAGGAAGCATCAGCAGACAGTCCCATGTAGAGCATGGTCCGTGCCTGCCCATCAAGCTGGACGTTTGTGCCCGGAGCACCTGCAGGGTCACATGTCCAGCCAGCTTCCTCCAGACCTAGAGTGTGAGCCTCTCTAGAAGGCCTGTTTGTGTGTCTTAAAGCTCTGCATATGATGTATCCTGTGGTTTAGAGCCTGTCTTTGCCACTGTCTTTGTCGGAATGCACTGAGCAGAGAGGCTTTGATGTGATTCGCTGCCATCTTTGCTTGTGAGAGTCTCTGGACTTTGTGACCGTCCCTTCCATCGTCAATTGTCATCTCTTACAGTTATCATCAACATTATTATTATTATATCATTATTATCAGTATCATTTTCTAAGCAGTAGGGATCCCTTAAGAATCATCATCCCCAAACACAGACACTGAAGGCAGGTCAGATGGGCTTGAGATGAAGACAGGCTTCGGGACCCAGGACCCACATTCCTGACTCTGCTTCATTACACAGGTGGCTGAGATGCCTTGGCTCATCTCTGCAGGCGAGTCTGGAAGCTTTCCTACATAAAACTGGAGTCTTTATTTTACTATTTGTGGGTTATAAATAATCCATGTTTCCACGCAGTGACAAAGTCTCTGATGTCCACGAGGCCCTGTTTATCTGTTAGTGATCCATGATCAACTATGACCCAAAAATATGGAACAGAATACTTCAAAAGCAAAATAATTTGAGAACCCATTCACACAGATTATTGTCATGTGCATTGTTCATTGTTGGGTAGTGATAACTTTTTGCTATGCCTAATTTAATAATTAACCTTATTCAAAGCACATATGTACAGAAAAAAACATTATATATAGGGTTCCATACTATCTGTGGTTTCAGATATCATTGTGGAGACTTGAACCCCCTCAGATAAGGGGGGTAGCTATGTACCATATGTCTCTGTCCCTGGATTTAACACGCACAATAGTATATTTGTTCTAATTTATACCTAGGGCCTATTATATGTTATGTTATGTTATGTTATGTTATGTTATGTTATGTTATGTTATGTTATGTTATGTTATAACCTTGTCAGGCAAAGTCCAGCAGAGATAGAGCTCTTGTCTAATGGTGGTGTACTTTCTGGCTTGCTGTGATAAGAAAGATCATGACCAGAGGAGTTATGTGGGGTCTACGAGCCTAGCAGGAAAATGACGGCTACTGTAGCATTGTGGAGAACATGGAGTTTAATGCTTCAGCATTATGATGGACACAACCATGACTGGGCAAAGAAGTTTGCACTGTGAAGTGGACTCGCATCCCTGTTTCCTTGGAAACCACAATGTTGAGAGGGACTTAGGATGCTGAGTCCAGAAGGTCCTCAACGTGAAGCCCTGTGCCCGGCCTGAGAATTCAGTGACCCCTGTGCCAGAGGGGAGGGGGAATTTCATCCTTACCTTTCAGACAGCAAAGTTTCTTAGCATCTGTGACTATGCAAAACAAGGTTGCCAACTAGGATGTGGGATCATCCAGATGGAGCTGTTGACACTTTGTAGCTGGAGGAAAGGGTTGGCTCTGTACCTACTGTGTCTGGGTCTGCTGCTCAAGCCCAAACCCATTTTATCAATAGCTTCATGCTTGGGTGCCTGACTGACATGTTCAGTTTTGATCCAGTGGTCAGTGATGTGTCATTTGTGTGTTTTGACAGAGGACAAATTACAGGGTGGGCTAGCATTTGCATCTGATGTCTTAAGTGGTCCTCAGAATTCGTGTAATGCTAAAGAAAGCTATGGGTAGAGCTGGCGTTAGAAAAGGAAAGGAGAGAAGCAGGTGGAAGAAAACTAATTCTATGAAGCTAGATGTGGATCGTGTGAAGTGACCAGCCCCTTTGACTCACCAACGCCAGAGATAATCTGAGAAAATCGCCAGAGATGAGGGATGAGGGCCCCAGACAAGGATGTGGTGTTATGTGTGATGTTGAGAACTAGAACAGAACAGCCCTAAAGGGTCATGGTGGCTCCAGAGTGGAGCTCTGATGTCGCTGGAGGGCTTCATGAAGCAAATGCAAATGGCCATCCCAGAAGAGGGTGGGAGGATGGTAAGAGCCAGTGGGGGGGGGGGAGGAGGGGAGTGGGCCAGCTGGGTGCGCTCATCAGCTGCTGAAGTAGGAATTGGTTCTCTTCAGGGGGAACCATATGATAGGTGGCTCGTACCCCAGTGGTTAGCACTACACCCATGGACATACAGGGAACACTAATTGGACTCAGTATGTTTATATAGAGCACATTATATATACACATAGTTGTAGGATAGGTCGTAAATTTGAGAGGGGGATGTAGAAGGGGACACAGGAGAGACTGAGGAGGAATGGATATATTCATGTATGATATTCTACAATTTAAAAGATAGCCTATCAAGTTACTTTTTATACTTCAAAAGCTTGTCGTCAAAGGAATTTTGAAGACAGTAAAAACTGTTACAGGGAGGCTGGACTGGGGAGATTTTATTTCTTTGTTATTTGCATAATAAGCTTGTGATTTTCAGCATACCATAAACAAGCAGTAAAACACTCCAGCACAATTCTGAAAAGAGCAGTAATGACTCAGAAATAAGTGAACAAACACTGGAAAAATGCTCTTGAGCCAGAAGGGAAGACGGCAGCCGGGTTTGCGCTGTGGGACCGTCAGGGTGTGTTGCTTGTCTCCATGTTTCTGGTAAATTGATGGAGATGATTTTTAATTTTTGATTGGTGGTTTATGCACTGGATAGGCTGGAAGAACCCGCCTTCTTTTTCAGTTTATACTCACTAGCATTGGTTATCATTATTGTTGTTTTGTGCTCTTGTACGTCGTCAGTTACTCCCAGCAGGGATGACATTTGTTAGACCAGGACGCGGTGACTCTGACATCCACTGCTTCCCTCAAAGGCACGTGCAGATGGAGGCCAGAGCTGACATCAGGTAGCATCCTCTGTCACTCTCCATGATGTGATGAGCCTGGAGTTAATACATTTGGCTAGACTGACTGGCAGTGAGTTCTTGGGACCTGAACTTGGGTGTGGCAGGTAGTTTACTGACTAAGTTATCCCTCCAGCCCTGGCTACTTTAAAGCTTTGTGTTTCTATCTTATGTAGAATATCGTTGGCTTTCCTACAGAAAAGGGATAATTAAATACTATGTACTTACAATGAGAGAGATGTGGCGAATTCCTGAAATTTGGTTGAGATTCATTGAGATTTTTGAACAGCTTGCTTTAGTTTAAAAGGGGTTCCAACTTGCAGCTTGGGGGCTGTATGTACCCCACGATAGCTATGAATGTGACCGAACACAAAGTCAAAACTAACTTAAATATTATGAGGTATTTTTGTGTGGTTTTTAAAAATTGATTAGTTATTGTGTAAGAGAGAGTGGTTGTGTATGTGACATGCGGGGGGGGGGGGGGGGGGGGGGGGGGGGGGGGGGTCTGTAAGCTCATGCCATAGCGCTCCCGGGAGAGTCAAAGGACGTGTCTGCGGCGTTGACTCACCTGCCTTTGATGTAGGTTCCAGCAGCAGAGCGCAGGAAACCATGCCGGTGAGTCAGAGCTTTACCCGCTGAGCCATCTGTACACACAGGCTAAGCGTGACTGCCAAATGTCGTGCTTGTGATAACAGTGTCGCCTCACTCGCCTCGTCCTTCCCTTTCCAGGATCGGGACGATGTCTGGGGAAGTGCCTCCCAACATCAATATCAAGGAGCCTCGATGGAACCAAAGCACGTTCGTCGGCCGAGCCAATCACTTCTTCACGGTCACGGACCCGAGGAACATCCTTCTAACTAACGACCAGCTGGAGAACGCGAGGAAAGTGGTGCACGATTACAGGTAAGGCTGGCGCCGCGTTCGCTGCCTTCCCGTGACGGGATCACCGTGTTCATTGCATCCTGTACCTCTTCTCTAAGTTAACTGTCCCAGGCACCTTTCTGTCTTCGGAGGGACACAGCACTGTTCAAGAAACTGGCTCCTGATAACTAGGGGTAGGGTCATTGCTGCCGAGACTCACCCCCAGTGAGGGAACCTCAGCTGCGAACGATTCTGATGGTGTTCAGGGATGCAGAGGGGAGATGCACCTCATCAGCTGAGAGAGTCACACACGGATAAGAGGAGCCACCTATGCAGGGACAGTCCATCTTCCACATTCACCAGTTCTCTGGCAGAAACCACTGGAAAATGTCTTTTCTCAGCATTGGACTTGAACAGATTTTTTTTTATTGCTATTCCATGAGGAATGCAGTCTAACTGTACGGGGCATTTCTTGTTCATGATGTATCATGTGTATGTAGCAGGTAGTCTAGAGATGAATCGGCACATGAGGAAGAACCCAGACTTGGTACTGCCTGCCTAAGTCCTAGCTACTCAACAGACTGAGGCAGGGTCTCACTCAGCCAGTGCTCAGCAAGCCTGAGCAACACTGTAAGACCCCATCTCAGAAAATAAGTAAGGAATGTATGGAATTAGATACAAATAAGCTAATATCATGCATCCTATAGAAAACACCCTAATCTCAGAATTCGTATCCTTGAGGACAGCTAATTCAGAAGTAGATGTATTTTTCTATTTAAAAAAAAAAAGAAAGAAACTGGATAAGAAATACTATAGGGGTCCAGAGAGTGGCTTACATTTAAGAGCTACCTGCTATAGATAGATGTTTCTCTCCTGCCCACCTGTTCCCAAATACCCAGAGGCCGCTTTCCAAACAATTGGCTTGAAGGTTTAATATTACTAATAAATGTTCAGCCAATAGCTCAGGTTTGTTACTAGCTAACTCTTAGACTTAAATTAACCCATATTTCTATGTATGCTTTGCCACGTGGCGGTACCTTTATTAGCATGTTCATCTTCTGCTCCCTCTGCATCCCTTTGTCAACCCTGCTTTTTCAGCATTCTTAGTTTGGTCACCCCGCCTGTACTTCCCACCTGACTACTGGCCAGTCAGTGTTTTATTAAACCAATTCAAGTGACAAATCTTTACAGTGCACAGGAGGATTATTCCACAGCAGCCTGCTCTTGCAGAGGACCCAGGTTCAGTTTCTCCGCACCCATGTGGTAGCTCATAACTGCCTGTAACCCAGTCCCAGGGTACTTGAAGCCTCCTTCTGACCTCCACAGCCCTAGGCATGCACATAGTACACTTACACACATGCACTTATACACATAAAAAATTTTTTTCAAAAAATAAATACTTTAGACTTTGTATACTTCAAAGAGTCTCAGTCGCATAATAATTTTGTTAACTTTTTTATAACCCTTTTGATGTCAAATCCCTGTGATCTGGGGGACAGACAGACCATGGACAGTAATTTGCTGATTTCTGATCTAAGGAAAAGCCAATCAAATATGGGGAATTTGACTGTCAGGTGCTCTGCACCTAAACATGCCAGGAATAACGCGCTGGCTAGGCAGTTAGGAAGGGACTAGTGCCCGTCTACAAAGAAAGACCATAAGCATGATTTCAGGAATTCAGGACAATCCCTGTTCTTTGTGGATTTGGGACAAAAGGCAGAGAGGGCAGGTTGACTTGGAGAGGCTGACATAATGAAGAGGCTTAAAATGCCATAAAAAACTTCAAACCTTCGCTGGAGACAGTGTTCGGGAACTAGCAATAGACAAAGCAGAGAATAAACCAGATGGGCTCCTCACAGACCTCAGTGAGAGGGCAGCAAACTCTAAGAGGCCCAGAAGGCATTTTTAGGCAGAGATGGTCTCTGGCGGATGTTCTAAAACTGTCCAGCTGATCTGAGCACACAGGTCAGGCTCTGAACTGCCCTTGTCATTCCCTGGCAGATGAGAGCGGAACGGATGAAAAGGTCACACATCCATTACTTCAGCAGTTACCTTTGTGTCATTCCGACCAAAACACCTGACTTAAAGGAGGCTCCAATCTGCTCCCTCTTTCCATGGTTATTGCAGAGGAGGAGGAAGGTCAGCACTCTCTGCTCTTTCCTCCTGTTTCCATCTGAGTCCCAGCCCAAGGATGCTGGCACCCACAGTCAGGATGTACATGCACATATAGATGTTCACACACAGTTAATCTTCTCTGGAAATGCTTTCAAAGGCACACCAAGAGGTGTATTTTTCTGATCTGGTGGATTTCAAATCCAGTCACATCAGCAGTGATTATAAAAAGGGACTGTGGACTAGAGGGTGAAGATATTTGCTCCAAGAAAACCCTGATCTCTGCAACAGAGAAAGACTTTCTGTACTGAAGGAACCTGTCTAAAAGCTAAAGAGACATGCTCTTTACAGAGGAAAGACCCACACATGGCAATTTTTTATTTATGTTGTCTATAAACAAACTTTTTTATGTATATGGGCATTTTGTTTGCATGTGTGTCTGGGAACCCCTTGGGTGCCCGTTGCCTGGTGCCTGGAGAGACCAAAAGAGGGAACTGAATTCCTGAGACTGGGGTTACAGATGTTTATGAACCACCATGTGGGTGCTGGGAATCGAGCTAGGGTCCTCTGGAAGAGCAGCCAGTTCTCTTAACCACTGAGCCATCTCTCAAGCCTTAAACAAATGTTTTTTTTTTTTCCATTAAAAGTAACATTTTTCTCTTGGTGTGTATTCATAGTACTGGCCTTCAGAAAGACATTTTCATGTAAGTATAAAAGTTTGAGCATTTTCCCACAAAGCCTTGTCGTCTGCTGTTTCTCCCCCTCCCCCTCCTGTTAATCCCGTTTGTCCTCTAAATTGGCCTCCATGAACAGAACACGAAAGTTCTTAGGAAAGAGCAGACGCTAGGAAAGTCTGTCTGTCATCTGCACACTGAGTGTCAGAGACGGGGGAGGGGAGGTCCAGCCATGGCTGCAGCCCAGACGGTTTATACAGGATTGCCATCATTAGCAAAGGCAGAATCTCAGATCCACAGTGCTTGAAAACTCTTCTTGAGTAGACAAGAGGCGAAATTTAAACATTAAAATATCAAAGAAGAAGGAATTTCTCTATTGAAATCAGACAAGGGACCATTTCGGGTGAGTGGCAGAGAAAAATCCCATGTTGATGTAAGCTCTAGTGAGCTTCAGCCAGACAGCATTCAGCAGCCAGCTGAAGCTGCACAGAAAGAACCACTAGAAACACATAGGAATCCTACTCGGCTCTGTGATGCTAAAAGCCCCGACAGACAGGCCTTTGCCACACCAGGATTTTAAATACCTTCTCTTACTCCCAAAAGAAGAACCAGGTAGAACTACACAGTGAGAACAATGATCCTTTAATAGAAACTCTTAAGTAATCAAGCTCCCGTGAAAAATGTATGTGTTTGGTTAAATAGTTAAGTCCAACACTGGATGGACCGAGACTGTTGTTGATCCCAGCTCAGCATCCTCCTGCTGCTGGGATGGGATGGGGAGGTGGGAACCCGAAGGTCTGATTGCAGTGTGCGCTTTGTACCCTCACCTGTGATGCTTTCAGCAAGGATGCAAAGGCCAGTTCGTTCCCAGGACTCAAAGGTAGCAGAAGACCTGCCTCTTCAGGGTCCTCCTGCTACTCTCTGCCTTTGCCTTGGCAACAGATTCTCTCGCTGAACCTGGAGCTCACCCCCCTTCTACTGAGTGAGCAGTCAGTGTGCCCCAGTGGTCTTGCTGTCTCGGCTCACCCCCACACTATCCCACACCCCATGCCAAGGATCCAGGCTTGTGCCCAGTGCTGGGATCTGAACTCCCATCTTCGTGCTTGTACAAGTGCTCTTAACTGCTGAGCCATCTCTCTAACCGAGTCCACTTTTCTCATTTCTTGATGGCAAATGTAATAAGTATGTTAAAGCAAAAATAACATGTCTCCCAGATCAGCAGTCAGCAGCACACTAGTGAGTCTGTGTAGCAGGACCTGAGACATGCTGTGGGAGGGAGATAGTGTTTGCTCAAACGAGATTTGAGAAAGGTTCAGTCTTGAGAATGTCATATTGTCATATACCACCCCGCCCCACCCCACTTTGCTTTAAGGTTCCAAAATATTTAGGATTTGGGGTTGTAGGACTCTTTAATCCATTTTCCTAAACTTGAGCATAGCCCTTTTTTTCTTCCTGTAACCTCTATTAATGCCTAAGGGAGCACATGCAGGAAAGCGTGCACCCCAAGGCATCAACAACAAGAGCAAGTCCAGGACACCTTAATCTTCACTGTTCAAAACCCTTTGAAACTAAGAGGTAGAGATATTAAAAAGATGAAGCCTTTGTATTTTGCAACTGACACTATCCTAATTGACTTGAAACCTGTAACAAATCAATGTGATGAGAGTGTCTACCTTCAATCCACATAAAGCATCCGCACGCAGAGTGACAGCCACTCATGTGCATCAGAACACTTAGAAATACAAAATATGGGCAGGGGAGATGGCTCAGGGCTTAAGAGTGCCTACTGCCCTTGTAAAAGACGGAAGTTCAGTAGCCAGCACCCCACCTCGAGCAGCACAAACACCTGTTAGCTCCAGCTGTAGGAACCCTACACCCATGGCCTCTGCAGGCATCTGCACCCTGATGCACATACCCAGAGCAGCTCACAAACGCCCGTTAGCTCTGGCTGTAGGAACCCCAATACTCTGCAGGTGAACAGGGACACAACAGAAGCCTAGAAACCAAGCCCAGTGCTTCTCACACCTCAGCTGATAGAAACCAGTCCATGGGGAGTAAAACTGAGCAAATTTCACATTTTCATACTGTACTGGCTGTTTTCGGTCAGCTTGACACAAGCTAGAGTCATCAGAGAGGAAGGAGCCTCAGCTGAGGAAATGCCTCCATGAGATCCAGCTGTAAGGCATTTTCTCAATTAGTGACCTTGGTGGGTGGTGTCATCCCTGGGCGGGTGGTCCTGGGTTCTATAAGAAAGCAGACTGAACAAGCCAAGAGAAGCAAGAAATAAGCAGCATCCTTCCATGGCCTCTGCATCAGTGTCTGCCCCAGGTTCCTGCCATTTGAGTTCCTGTCCTGACTTCCTTCAGTGATGAACCATAATGCTGAAGTGTAAGCCAAATAAACCCTTTCCTCCCCAACTTGCTTTTAGTCATGGTGTTTCATTGCAGCAATCGAAACCCTAATTAAGACACACACCTTATGATAAATTCCTCTGCTTTTTAAGACAAACTCAGTCTCAAGAGCAAAAGGCAAAAGGCATAGCTTTTGCTATCACAACCTGCAGCTTGGTTCCTGGAACTCTGACTAGGGGCAGGAGGGCAGGAAGAAAGGACACACACACACACACACACACACAGAATAGCTGAGATCAGGAGGTGACGTGGGCTGTGATGGAGGACGCCTACCAGGCAACCCAGAACCTCAGGTGTTCATTCGGGACACCCTGCAGGAGGAAGCTGCAGTTGCCAGTCTTGGCACACACCGACTGCTCATACCCAGACCCATCCCTTGCCATCCCTCTTGAGCCTGGCCCGTATGGCTTTGCCAATTTCTCACGAATAAAAGGCTGGTCTTTGTCATATACATTCTCTCAGGGCTTCCTCCACATCCTACAAACTCAAGTGCAAAGGAGAAAGGCAAAGAACATTTAAATTTTACATGGCGGTCGATTGAGCACATTGACTCATTTATGTCTAGATAATCGTGGGTGTGGGGAAAATTCTTCATATGGAGGCTTATCCCTACATGTCCAAAGGGATAAAGTGGAAGAATTAAAATCCCAGTTAAAACTCACGTTGTGGAATAATCTGTAGTATTTAAAGGATGGTGTAGCCCCCTTCCCAATTAGGAGGCTGGAAGTGTGAGCCAGGGCACAGTAAGGTCACACTTCCTTGGAAGGCTTCCTGGGTGTTGGTGGCTCTGGGAATTGTCAGCGTTCCTTGTCTTGTAGATACATCACTGTACTCTGCCTTCTCTGTTTGTACAGAGACACTGTCCCTTGGATTTAGTGACCATTCGTCCAATAGGACTTCACTTTGGCTAATTGCATCTATAGAGGCACACACCCTGTTCTTCTATGTGAACATGCATTTTGGAATTACTATTCAAACCAACGTATGATGGTTTAGAAGAATGTTATATAAACACGGGAAGAAATATTTATAGAGTATTGTTGAATAAAAGTCATGGTTAGGGAGCCTCTGGTTTGGGGTCAGATCTTAAACACCTTGGAAAATTGAAAAAGTATTCTCCCAAATATTGCCAACGACCATGGTAGATAGGCCCAGGGTAACTTCATTGCTCCACGAAGTTTGTATATTTTCCAAATCTCTGACAAGGAGTATTTCTGGGGTGGGAAAATCTGACAAATTGTGCACCAGGGCCTGTATTTGCACCACAGAGTCCTAAACCTAAGTTTGCCAACTGCAGGTTTAAAATGAAGGAACAGCCTTGAGTGCCCTAACTTCGGTCTGATTGGTTAAAAATGGTTGTCGAGAGTTTGCCGAGTTCAGACTCCAGTTTTAATATGTCACTTAAAACAGTGACTCCAAGCTGAACACTCCTTAATATGCATATTGCTTTCTGTTATCTTCCAAATTACAGGTAATTGATGTGCATGGGTCTGAGTTCACTGTAGCCGTGTTCTTGTTGTTACGCTTCAGGCTGCCAGGAAGGCCAGTGGTAGGAACACACGCTAACCCCAGCACCCAAACACATAAACAGTTAAAAATCATAATTCCCACCAACGCTCTGACAGACCTGGAAAGTTTTGCAAACCATGAAGGTCATGATGAGATCTCTGAATGGAGGGAGCGGTGGCTAGGACTCTCGTTGTCATTTTCTAGACAAGGAATCGTTCCTGCTGGCCTCACGGAGAATGAGTTGTGGAGGGCGAAGTACGTGTACGATTCAGCTTTCCATCCTGACACGGGCGAGAAGATGATCCTGATAGGAAGGATGTCGGCCCAGGTCCCAATGAACATGACCATCACCGGCTGCATGATGACGTTCTACAGGTGAGTCACAGGAGCGCGGGAGGAATCATCGAAAGAACGTTTTAATATACATTTTACTGAAGTAAGTGTCACCGTGATTATGCTAACAAGGATGATGGGTGCATGCTACAGTGTGTCAAAACATGTTGCGCCCCATAAATATTTCCAGTAAAAAGAGTTAAGTAAATGGAGGGCTGGCAAGATGGCTCAGTGAGTAAAGGCACTTCCTGCCACACCTGAACACGCGGTTTGCTTCCTGGGAAGTGCTTCGTGGATAGAGAGAGCCCAATTATTGCAGGTCATCCTCTGACCTCCACGTGCACACACACATATACGGAATAAATAAAGTTAATTACAAATTAACCGTAACGTATAACAGCTGAACATAAGGTGGAGGCGGTTTGTAGTGGCTCGCCTGCAACCACGGCTCCTGGGAGGCCGAGAGGAGTGTGCAACCAGCCTGGCTGTACAGCTGACACCTGTCTCAATCGAACAGGAACAGCGAAAGCAGGTAGAGGTGTGTTGCTTTAACATTGAGAAAGATACCATTCATCTTTAGTTCACTCCGAGTAGATGTTATCACTATATTAAGCAGCATCTGGCATGATTCGTGAAACTAAACACGAATAGCTGGGCATGGAGGGCTCATGCCTGGACTCCTAGTGTGCAGGATAATAATAATAATAATAATAATAATAATAATAATAATAATAATAATAATAATAATAATAATAATAAACCATAAAAGTGTTTTACCTCTAATGTTGATAAGACAGGGGCCATAGAGGTGGCTCAGCAGTTAAGAGCACTCACTGGCTGTGCTTGCAGAGGACCCCAATTCAGTTCCCAGCACCATGTGGCAGCTCACAACTGTCTGTAATTCCAGTTCCAGGGCATCTGGCACCTTGTGGCAGGCACTGAACACACACAGTGCACATACATATATGCAGGTAATACACTCATACACATAAGATAAAAATAAATAAAACGTTTTTTAAGGATAGTAAATAATATATTTATTTAAAAAGAAGTTGACGTTTTTCCTAAGTCTTAGACACTAAAGAAAATAAGATAGGAAAAAAGGAGTCTAGAAACAAATTCCTCTACTCCCCCTCTCCGTAGACTCAGATGCATTTGGGTGTTGGAATAGACCCAGCATAAGAAAGGCCAAGCCTGCTTTGCTCTAAATTGTTTTGTTTTATTTACCCAAGAGAAGCAAATTTCTCAGTCTACTCTGTACTAGGGTTTTTATAAGTTTATTTCTTCTTAAAAGCTGTCCTGGCTAGTTGGTTGTTTTTTTTTTTTTTTTTTTTTTTTTTTTTGCCAACTTGACACAAGCTACAGTCATTTGGGAAGGGAGACTTTCAATTAAGAAAAATCCTATCATCAAACTGGCCTGTAGGCAAGACTGCCAGACATTTTGTTAATTAATGATTGATATGGGAAGGACCCTGGACTGAAGCCAGGCAATGGTGGCGCACGCCTTTAATCCCAGCACTCGGGAGGCAGAGGCAGGTGGATCTCTGTGAGTTCGAGACCAGCCTGTTCTACAGAGCTAGTTCCAGGACAGACTCCAAAGCCACAGAGAAACCCTGTCTCAAAAAACCAAAAGAAAAGAAAAGAAAAGAAAAGAAAAGAAAAGAAAAGAAAAGAAAAGAAAAGAAAAGAAAAGAAAGCAGGCTGAGCAAGCCAGGAGGAGCTAGGCAGTAAGCAGTGCTCCCCGTGGCCTCTGCGTCAGTCAGGTTCTTGCCCTGACTTCCTCTGATGATCAACAGTGATGTGGAAGTGAAGCAAGGCTGATTTTAGTCATGATGTCCATGACAGCAATAGAAACCCAAAGCCTGTGAGCTTGGTGATAAGGAAACTGGGTATCAAAGTAGACAATCTGTGTCTTCCTCCCTGCCTGGTCCCCTTCCTTGCTGGCGTTTGGTATTTAACTGTACCGAAGAGGGCTCACTGATGCTAGAGGGGTTGTGACAGTATACTCTGTTTTAGGACCACACCGGCTGTGCTTTTCTGGCAGTGGATAAACCAGTCCTTCAATGCCGTTGTCAACTACACCAATAGAAGCGGAGATGCTCCCCTCAGTGTAAAGTAAGGCTGTGGGGCCAACCCAGCCTCCCTTAGCCTGTGCTCCTTAAAGTAGCCATGCTCTGGCCGTCTCTCCTCCTCCCTCTGTATCGGGATAACTTTCTGCTTTTGTCTTGCTGTTATTAGTGGGATAGTGTTGTCTCTCTTATATCCCGAGCTCCGGGGTCCTGCAGAATGCCTACCAAACAGCCCTCGGGCCTGACCTCTGTCCAGTAACTCCTCTCAGGGCTGCATGAGTCAACGCAGGAGGGGCTTTGCAGTGGTGTAGCCTTTATAGACGCTTAACTTCAAAAGCGGGTCATTGCTGGAGTCCAAAGACAGCAAATTTATGAATTTGTCTCCTATTTTAGAGTGTGTGTGTATGTGTATGTGTGTGTATGTATATGTGTGTGTGTGTGCTGCCAAGCTGAAATTAGCTAAAACTATAGATATAATTTCACAACACTTGAAACAAGTCATTTTCCGGTTTATATTTGAAAATTGCCTTTGACGCCTGTATTCTGCTATCATCAAATGGAGCAAAGGATGCTGACACCCGCCCCCCAGTGGTGTTTCTCACAGTTAGAATCGCTCAGGTTCCACTGCCCTTTAGGGGTAAACTTGGGCTGTTTTTACACAGTGAAAACACCATCTAAGATGGTCCTGCCCGCACTTGGCTTTCTATGTTTAATATTAGGAGCGATAGTTTTGAATTGTGCAAGTGTGCCCCAGACACTTAGCCCAGACTGTTTCCTCTGCCCACGGCTTTCCACACACTCGCAGCTCCCCTCCTTCCTCATCTGCATGGGTGCTTCGTCTGCATGTCTGTCTGCTTGGAGTTGGAGCCCGTTTTCAGGGATGTGCTGGCCTTCTCTCTGGATTCCCATGCTGATGGAGTGACCCCAGACGTTGTTCTGCAGACTCCCCACTGCTGATCGTACACTCCTGTCTCCTCGATTTCTTCCCTGGTGTACACGCATCATTTACACAGTGTATTTATTCTTTCCAGTGAGCTGGGGACGGCTTATGTTTCTGCAACAACCGGTGCTGTAGCGACAGCCCTGGGACTCAATGCCTTAACCAAGGTACTTTAGTTTTCTTTCCCTGGCGGAGCATCTTAACTCTTTTGACCTGTCACTCTGGGCGCCTCTGTTATTTCTCAGAAGAGTTGCAACCACTTGGCTTTCTTGTAGCCATTCTCAGCTGCATATGTTAATTGTATCTTCTAGTGGATTTGGGGAAGGATGGTAACTAGTAGCAGCAACAAAGACTGGTGTGTTCCTGGCTCTACGCATTAAGTTCTAACCCCTCTCTCTAAAAGATTCCTCCTGAGGCTGTCAGGGGGGTGCCTTGAAGAGGTAGAAGGGCTGGCTCTGAAATCAAAGTTCTGGGACTTGGGGATGTGCTTCCAGCCACATGAACTAAGCCAGATAGCTGCGTCGTCTCAGTATGTCCTTCTAGAGATGCAGAAGCACCTCTCAGCAACACGGTTGACGCTCCTTGGCCTGGCTCTATGCAGCTGGGGCTGCGGTATTTTTAGGAAGATGTGAGAGTTTCCATTTAGCCGTTCAGGAAAAGTGAGATGATGTTTCTGGAATTATCTTTTCTACAGCGCGTCTCACCACTGATAGGACGTTTTGTCCCCTTTGCTGCTGTTGCTGCTGCTAACTGCATTAATATCCCACTAATGAGGCAAAGGTAAGAAGAGCGCATGCACTGGGCAGGGACTTGCGCTTGATTGGGGAGTTTCTTGTCGTGTAGATGGAGTCTGAGATTTGTTTCAGAATACTCTGGGGTAGGGTGGTAAGGGCAAGCCCATTGGGTTCCTACTTGTTGAAGTGGGCTGACGAAAACCTAGAGGCTTAGAACGCATAGCCTTCCTACTTCAAAGATGAGTCTCTAGCCTGCACCCTCTGCCCAGAAAAAAATCTGTAAGACTGAAACCAGAGATGGAAAAAGCCAAGTTTCTTGGTTTTCCCTTGGAATTTTTTTTAAGGAGCATAAGGTAATTTTAATCTTTATTTATAAAAATATTGTTTTAGAACTGACAGACATTAAAGGAGAAGAAAGAATAAGTATTTTTGATGATAACAAAAGAACAAGGCAGTAGCAGGAATTGGGCTCCCAGGCTTAGGAATCCTGTGTAACTAATGAATATCCAACAGGGCTGTGTTGCAATGACTGCCAATACGTGAGATACCTAATAACACTATGTACTGTATCTATTTCTGATTTAGAAGGTTGTTCACATTTGTACGTGAGCATAGAAATTAACCTCACCTTTGAGCTAACATATCCACCCCTCAAATCATATTATTGGAAAAGTACATCTTCTGAAAAAAAAAAAAGAGTACTGTTATTTTCCCTTTGCGTCTATCCCAGGAGGCTTGAACCTGTTCGTGGTATTTAAAAATAGATATATCAGTGCCAAAATTGACACTTGAGTGGGAAACTGGATGAAGGAGGCACTTGATCTTTCTCAACAGAGTCCTCCTTCAGGATGCTGCCTGCAGCTTCTGTGAACCCCTCTGCGTGTGTTCTGCCCTTCAGGGAACTCAAAGTTGGTATTCCTGTCACGGATGAAAACGGCACCCGCTTGGGAGAATCGACCAATGCTGCAAAACAAGCCATCACGCAGGTGGTCATCTCCAGGATCCTCATGGCGGCCCCTGGCATGGGTAAGTGAGCCTGGAGGTCCTGCTGTGTAGTTTATGCCAAACCTTTACGTATCAGTAAACAGAAACGGTCAACAGCACTCCTCTTTGTGAAAACTACTTTCTGCTGGTGGAGCCTGCAACTGAACAAGTAAATAATACACAGTGCAAGTGGGGGCGTCCCTTACCCTAATGCTTGGGGCTCTCAGGAGTGCCCCAGGTTTAGGATTTGTTTAAATTTTAGAACATTTACAAATATATATATAATGAGCTACCTCTCAGGAACCCAAAGTTAAACTCGAAGTTTATTAATGATTCGTATACGTTTTGTACACATGACCTAAAAATAGTTTCATGCAGTATTGCTAATGATTTCATACATGCACCAAGCAGTGTGCATCCTGACTCATGCGTGTGAGTTGAAAGAGGTGACATCATTTAGTTCTCAGCAAGTTTCTGATTTTGGAACATTCAGATCTGAGGGGTTTTTATGATTTATTTGTATTTATTTTATATGCATTGCTGATTTGACTACACTTATGTCTAAATGAGTATGTCAAATCACTTTGAGCTAGATTACAGATAGTTCTAAACTACCGTGTGGGTGCCGGGAATTGAACCCCAGGTCCCCTGGAAGAGCAGCTGGTGCTCTTAACTGTTGAGCCATCTCTCCAGCCCCCAGAACTGAGGGCTTTTCTGATTAGGAATGCTTACCCTGTATGTAAAATAGTGATAAGAGCTAAGGGAAGGGAAGGGTAGGGATGGGAGAAGCAGCAGTGGCCAGGCAAGGGACTGGGGTGGAACATACTGAGCAGGCATGAATCTGAGGTAGAGTGGGCATCAGCAGAGGGGCAGGAGCTTGCCGTTTTGTGGGAGGCATCTGCGAAGGAGGAAAAGGAGAAAGGATTTTAACGGGCCCCAGAGACTGGAGTCAGCTACTTGGACATTACAAGCTCTAACATTTAGTCTGAGGGATAGAGCACCACACACAGTTTTTAATAATTGGTAATTATTCAAATAATTCAAATAATTGGTAATTATGTGATGGGTGCTATGAGAGACTAAAGGGGTGCAGCCGTGGTGAGTAGAGACAGCTCAGGAGGCTGCCTCGGCACCACAGGCAGCGAGCCATGGCTAGTTGGACCACAGTGATATAGTGGAGTGATAAGACTGAGTAGAGTAGGCTGTGAGCTGAGTGGAGCGGGGTGTGACCTGAGTGGAGCGGGGTGTGAACTGTGTGGAATGGGGTGTGGGTGCGTGGAGTGGGGTGTGACCTGAGTGGAGCGGGGTGTGAACTGTGTGGAGTGGGGTGTGGTGTGAACTGAGTGCATCTTAAGATGACTCTGAAGTGCATGGAGATCAGCTCTTTCTACCAAAGCTCTCCCTGGAACACGGGACAACGGTGATGCTGAGGGCAGCTGTTAGAAACTGTACATCTGGCCGCTGCTCTGATATTTATATGGTGTGGAGCCAGCATGAGCAGAGGACATCTGTGTCATATCAAGACCTTTTGAGAAGCTCCTGTCTACTCTGGGGGCCTGGAGAAGGTTCTTAGACATTCAGAAATGAAAGGGCCTGAAAGTGACAGCATTCTATTGTAGGGAAAACAAAGAAAGAAACCCAGGATTTAATGCTCTTGAATCTCTTCACCTAAGCTGCATGTAAATGGCCCTTGGCTATTACAAGATGCTCTCGAATGAAGCGTGTCTGTCAGCTGCTATTGGCTATTGTCACAGGATGCTCTGAGCTGGCTGGTTTGAATGAGCAACAAAAGCTGAAGGAAACTGCCCAAAGGAAAACTGAGGGGCATTCCGCTGTTGACCCTGTGTGTACACAGCTCAGCATCCAGAGTCAACCAGCTATCAAAGAGGAAGACATGTATTGAACACGTATAGACTTTCTTCTTGTTATTCCCACAATAGTGTAACTATTTGCACATCATTTATGTTATGTTATAGGCTACAAATCACCTAGAGATGACAGCAGCTATGCGCATCCATGCACTTTGTAACCACGAGAGTCCTGAGTCCAGTCCCCTGTAGATTCCGAGAGACAGCAATGGTCATGTTGCATTTCAGCTAACTGGGGAGATGAGAGCCCTCCATACTCTAGTAGGATGCCAGTGTGGTCTGTGAAGGTATCTAGGGACCAGTATGTTTATCATCCCAAAGAGAAGGCTATGAAGCCCCCAACATGTCTGAGCCCTGATTTCTAGACTGCACCCCAGTTTCCACCCAGCTCCAGTCCTGCGTTTGCTTTGGTTTGAGTTGTTCACTCTGCCAACATGGAAATAGCCTAAAAGTGGCACAGCTTTCTGTCAGCTTGTGTGGGAAACTCCACTTAAAACAGGCATTAAGTGAAGACTTACATGGTCTTGTCTTTATTACAGCCATCCCCCCGTTTATCATGAACACATTGGAAAAGAAAGCCTTCCTAAAGGTAAGACCCATCACATCGTCATTTGTGAGTGCTTTTGTTTCTTTTTCTTTCTTCTTTAGACAGGGTTTTTCTACACATCCTCACTGTCCATTATGTAGACCAGGCTGACCTTGAACTCTCAGAAATGTACCAGAAATGTACCTGCCTCTGCCTCCCAAGTGTTGGGATTAAAGGTGTGTGCCACCACACCTGGCTGTGAGTCTTTTTCAGGGCTCTTCAGACTTGACATTAGTGAGTGACAGCCAACCTGAAGGTCACTTTCCCTTGGACACTTGTGAAAATACAAAGATGCTTCTAAGAACATCTTTCCACTCTCAGATGCTGGAAAGGCTTTTGTGCATGAAGACTTCTGCTGCAGTGAGGCTACGAGTGGGCTGTCCACCCAGTCGCCTGAGCACGCCTAGCTAGGTCAGAGGGAGAAGACAGCAATGAGTCTGGGACATGGGAAGTTACTACCTGTAATATCGGAAGTGGAAAGATCTGGAATGGTAGCTTCATGGAGCATTGGATTTATTAGTGTTTCTCTTTGATAATCATATCTAGAAGTTAAGTCTGCATTGCCAGGTGCCATCTCTGTGCCCTCCAGATTGTGATTTATAGGTTCCAGGATTAGCCCAGTTGGGATACAGTGGCCTAGGATGACTCTTGCGTGTCATGCTGAGTGTGGAGACATAGTTAAGAGCAGAGGCAATGGCCCTCCTGGAGGAGGAGATGCACTGAACATGGCAGCTCCATTGGGGTCGATCGCTTGAGTCTTAAAAACAGAATTGTAAAAGCAAGGGAGTGTCATACATAAAGCTTCAGAGAAAAAAATGCTGCCCCAGGCCAGATGCTCCTGGGATGAGACCGTGACGTATACACATAGGTCCATGTACTGCATATGGGCCCAGTAGGAGAAGGAAAGCCAAGTGCTGAATGGACCCTTGATAAACACTGTGTGAGTCAAGAAAATGTGCTGCAAATAAACACTGTGAGCACCTCGCGGGGCCCCTGTGAGGGACAGGAACTCCTGGCCATGCTCCTGGAACTTCTGGGGACCCATCAGCCTTTTCACTTGCTTGGTCTTATCTTAAGGCCCTGGCATAGATAACTTCAAAAATAACAGAGATTGAAAGAACATATCAAATAAGGCAAATATCCCCTCCTGCCAAAGGCAAGTGGTTATCAGCCTGTAAAAGCAAGACCAGGGCTGGAGAGGTGGCTTGCTAGTGATGAGCATACTCTGTTCTTGCTGAGGACTCGCATCCCTTTCCCAAGTACCCACATTCTGTAACTCCAGCTCCAGGAGGTGCAGTGCCTTCTTCTGGCATCCTGGGGCATCTGTAATCAAGTACATATACCCATACATAGACAAACATTCACACACATAATTAAAGATCATAAAATACATCACAACCCCCAAAGGAGCCAGAATAGTTAAAGATCATTCCCAGAACCTCCCTAGGTACAGGGAGTCTGGTTGTAGCTGCTGTCCTCCCTAGGTATAGGGAGTCTGGTTGTAGCTGCTGTCCTCCCTAGGTTCAGGGAGTCTGATTGTAGGTGCTGTCCTCCCTAATTACGGGAAGTCTGGTTGTAGCTGCTGTCCTCCCTAGGTTCAGGGAGTCTGATTGTAGCTGCTGTCCTCCCAATTTCAAGAAACAGGTTGCCTTGAAATGGTCGAGACTAAGTGTGCTTAAAGGACCCGTATGTACTCACACTCCCAAGTTCAAGGGTCAAGTTCCAATTACATATTATCTTTGCACTTGGGGCTCGTTTGATAGCGTGATTATTATTCAAACATACACAGGGGCAGAATTTATCAGTGTTTTTATTTGGAGCTTGGAGTGTTTTCTCATCCTTTTTTGGAAATGCAGATTTTTTTTTTCTGTGATAACCAAACCTCTCTGCAAACATGAAACCCATTGAACATTCTCAGCTTTTTAAACGCCACTTGGGGAACATTCAGCATGACTCATTTTCCCCCACATCTTATCTTCTTCCAAGTGGAGGACCGGGAAACACGCCAACTATGGGCAGGTGACTCACGAAAGTCCCTCCAGCTAACGAAAAGTTCCCTGACTAAAATACGGTGCAGCGCGTCAGCTTGAAGAATAGGCCTCATACTCTCCAGGCTGCCTGGCACTTCCACTGGGAACAGAACTGATAGATGTAGGTCCTGAGGTCCGGCTTGGAGCTTCCAGTTCTGGATCTTTCATGTTGCTCTAGTCACACTGCAGTGTGTACTCGGAGGGTGATTCTGGGTGGTTTGCTAATGCATGAGAATGTGACTTATTCACAGACATTATTACTCTTGAGCCCTCTGCTGGGTGCCTGTGGTCAGCAGTGTTCAGTACCAGAGTCACAGAAGCAGGGCATGAACCTGGCTCTCAGCATGGAGGAATGAGGGTCCGAGTCAGTGACCACGGCACAAGGTGATTTCAGCGTGGGCCCACAAAGAACACGGGGGAGCTGTAGTTGGTGTAGACTCGCAGAGGACCAACCAGCAGGTGGCATGTGTCAGCAGAAGCTTAGTGAGAATAGAACAGGGCTCGTTGGGGATTTGTGAGTGGCCAGGTTATACACAGGGAAGTGATTCTACCCTCAATGCAAATTAACTCTCCATGGTTCATGAAATCTAAAAACTCAAGTATAAAAAGAAAATATCATTGAACACAGGGCTAGGGCAAAGATTTCTTGGATACAAGATCAAAGAAAAAATTAAAACTCAGACTACTTCAAAACTTTTTTTAATTTTGTCTTTCAAAAACTAGACAGAGAATGCAAGATGAGAAACCAACCAGGTGTAGCAAGTAGCGAAGCAAGCCGTTTTAGTCAGAAAATAAATCAAGAATTCGTAAAGAACCTAAATGGCAGGAAAATGGCAGAGCAAAAATGGGCAAAAGTTCAGCAGATGCACTAAAATATATGAATAAACATAGGAAATGTTTCCGATCTTTTAGTCATTGGAGAAATTAGAATGAGCTGCTGTTAAACACCTGTCAGACAGGCTACAGTCAAAAATTGACAAACAGAAGAAGTAGGTACTGTGTGTGAATCCCTAGATCCAGACCTGATGGTGCACACCTGTAAAGCCAGCAATTGGGAGGTGGAGATAGGTGGGTCAGGAGTTCAAGGTCATTCTTGGCTCCTAGTAAGTTTGCTTAGGCCAGCCTGGGCTACATGAGATTCCATCTCGTACAAAAAAATAAAAAATAAACTCAAACCCTAGGAAACATCAACCAATACATAGTGAGATCAGAGCTACAACTTTGGCAGGGGACAGAGACCACAAAAGGAGCAGAATCCCAAAGGAGCATGGAAAGCACTTACCATGAAAGATGGGCTCGTTATTTTTATTGATGACAGCATCATAACTGTGGTATGGGTCACAAATTACATTGTACACATTAATTTAATGGGAAAGGGGCCATTGGGAGAAAAGAATTGAGACTCATATTATCATTGAGATACATATCCGTGTCACTGTGTATCCCAAACCACATTGGTTTGAAGATGTATACCTTCTAAACTTAGTATGTCATTTTCAATTCTTCTGAAATTTTTTATGTATTATACCTCCTTTTCATACAGTCTGTTAAGCAAGACATGTCCCGGTCATCCTCAGTTCAGCCTTTTCCTGGCCTCAGATGAAATTCTTTCTGGGGAATAGGCAGGATGGGGTAGTGAAGACAGAGTCAAGAATGGGGCCGGTGATGGATTGGGTTTCACAAGCAAGTCAGAATTCTCCAGAGTCCTTGTCATTATGAAGAGCCCTCAAGCAAAGCTAGCCTTTAGCTTATGTGTGTCTATTCCGAGGTGACACACAAGTATACTCTGGAATGTGTCTGGCTGTGTTTACTTAGGCAGACAAGAGGCCAGTAGAGATGCGGGGACTGTCTTACAGGCTCAAGTTCATCTACACAAACGAGCTCACTCAACAGGTAGCCTTGTGTGGGGAGGGGTTCTAGACAGGGTTTCTCTGTGTTTCTCTGGCTGTCCTGGAACTCACTCTGAAGACCAGGCTGGCCTCGAACTCACAGAGATACACCTACCTCTGCCTCCCTTCCCTGAGTGCTGGGATTAAAGGGTCTTCATTTTATTTTTCACTTTCTGCTGTTCCTGCTCTGTTCTTCTACCCTGTTGTTTTCATTCTTCTTCCCTGATGTTCTCCATCCTCCCTGACGTTCTCCTTCTCCATCTTTCATGATGTTTTCTTTTATATCTTTGCTTCTTTTTCTCTTATTTTCTCTTATCCCTTTTATATCTCCTAAGACAAAACAATTTCTAAGAAAATATGGCCTCACAGCCACAAGTTACATGTTTTCCAAAAACAAATTAAAATCTTTATACAAGAATGAATCACATATGATCACAAGTGAAATGTTATTCTTAGAAGCCCACAAATAGGTAAACATTTTTCTTTGTATTAATTTTCCCACCATAGCATCTTCACCCCAAAGCAATGACTCTTTTATAATTTATTAACCAAGTCTAAAGCAAACTAAGTGTATTTCAGCCAGTCCCCTTTGTACTGGCAGGCAATTTGCAGTTTCATTGTAGCAGATTCCTATTCTATAAAACAAAGCTTTAAACAAATGCTCAGCTAACCATCTATTTTCTTTACACACAATAGAGTCATTTAATTTCCTTGCACAATTTTGTTTTTTCAAGGTGCATACCGGGGCCTGTGGTTAATTCTGCAAATAACATGACCAAGGAACTCGGCTTTACCTTGGGTGTAGGAACATAACTGCTTCCTTTACTCATCAGCCTGGTTTCCACAGACAGAATTCATGGATCTATAATGCATGAAACCTCTTTGTTTTTATTCTCCATATTCTGCAAATCTCACATCTAACAAAGGGGAAGGTGACTTTTAGTCATTTTTGCCCTTTTTTCTATCTCTTATTGGAGCAGTTGTCAGAATGACCTAAACCATGCTCCTAATCATCTTTACGAACTGTCCTAACCATCTGTATCTATTAGGCTAACTCAGAAAGTCCAGTTAAATCATAGATCTGATCATCATTGCTCTGATAAAAATCATCTTCATTATGATCTGTAAGTGAACTGTCCAGTGAGGAGTAGAATCTTCCCCAGAAACAATCACACTATACTGGATACAGTGGCATCTTTTTATATAGTGACCACACCGTGCCAAATAGAGCAGGAACAGGGTAGCACCCCACAGAAGGAAGCGCAGCAGAAGCCAGGACCATTCTGCAAACAATCCTCCTGGGGCTTTGCCTGTCCAGGATGTACCCAGAGTAGCTTTGCTGTCCACTGGGCTGTGTCCCATAAGCTCTATTGCTGGCCACAGCTCCTCTGACATGGCCACCAGCAATCTCCCTGTGAAAATCCCTCCTTAAACAGCCAATCATTTGTGTAGAGGTGGAGAAGTGTTTGTATTGAAATCATATAGCCCAGGGAGCTGAATTTAGAGTATGCTAGTGAGTGCCCAGACAGCCTGGCCCGAGGATGCATTTTTCAGAACTTATCCTGTCGTTATGTGGCACATGATAGTAGTTTCCTCTTGGAGGTTAACCTCCCCTCCCCCTACATAGCCTACGTGGGTTGGTTTTATTTTGATGGCGTTTCCCCCTGCTTCATTCCCTCTTTCCTTCCATCCCTTTCAGCAAAGGAGTCTCCTTGGGCACCAGGGTATGCCTTCTCCGCACGTTATCTTGCAACACCTTGTGTGACTCGGGGCTGAAGTGGCTGATTGCATCCCAACCAACTCACAGCTCGTTGCAGAAGTTTCTGTGGTCTTACTGAGATAACCCTGTGTTTTATGTTGTGTATTTTCCTTTTTTAAAAACTAAGTATCTAACAACTAAGTAAAACTAAGTTTGCTTCCTACAAGGCCGACCTACTTGCCCACGACTAGCAAAGATAACTTATTCTGGAAACGGTTTTAACTGACAGCAACTGAATTCATCAAAGAGTGTGTACAAGCAAGTGGAGGGTGGTGTCTACTAAGACTCCTCCCACTCTGCTAGGCTCCTCCCACTCGGTCACCGTCCTGGGTTCCTGGCATGTCTTCCTCCTCACCTTTAGAGGGACTGCTTACTTTGCATCCTAACAAACCCTGGACTCTGCCTGCTTTTTCCACACAGTTGGTCAGTGCTGATGGGGCAGGAATCTAGTGCAAGTTCATGTGTCTTCCAGCTTGCATGTGGGGCCCTTCCTCCTCCCTAGCAGCAGATAAGCCATAATTAAATGCTAGCTAGTCCCCTACCTCGTATACACAGGTGAATAACACTCGGGATGGCTGCTGCTTACTTGGTCATTCATAGCTCAGGGCCGTGAAGTCAGGACTAATCGGTGTGGTAGTGTTGCCCAAGGTCTCACTAACCCCATTGTGCTGGGTTTTATGCCACGGGGATGTTCTTCAGTCAGCAGGAGAGACTCTTGAAGAACCACACAAGTTCTGACGCCTGTGTGTTTTTCAATACAGAGGTTCCCGTGGATGAGCGCACCAATTCAAGTCACGTTGGTTGGCTTTTGGTAAGTGGAAATGAGCCTTTAAAAGCATAGCTGCTGTTATTATTGTTGTGTGTGTATTTATTCAGTAGGTGTTACCATGTTCTCTCAGTAGTCAACTCAGAAATCACTTATGTAAGTCATTTTGGTGCCTGTGGAGGTTTGGGTGACAGAAAAGTTTTGAAAATGGCACCAACCCAGAGTGCCTGCAATTTGTGGCCCCAATTATTAAAAAGATGAAAACTGTCCATACAGGAACCTCCACAGTTAGGGCTATTTGGGTGTTCCCACGTAAACTCCAGTTACCCCTTTGTTCCTGGTGCTTTTGTTTACCATTTTGGTGATTAAACATTAAATATTTGTAAGGCAGTTCTGTGCTCTAAAGGAAAGAGGTTGTCATTAAGATACATACATACATACATACACACACACACACACACACATATATATACATATACATATATATATATATATAGAGAGAGAGAGAGAGAGAGAGAGAGAAGCCAAGAAGTGACCACTTCAGCCAACTGACCTGTCTTTCTGTTTATTTTGAAGTTTGGTGTTCGCCACCCCCCTTTGCTGTGCTCTGTTTCCTCAGAAGAGGTAGGTGGTGGTTTGTTTGCTTGCTTGCTTCAGAATTATTGTGAATTTTGATCTTAAAAATGAGCTGGAGAGACAAGTGAAGATGGTTCATTTCAATCAGGTCTCTAACGGGCCAGGAAAACCTCTAAAAGGAAGAGACTTGTCTGTGGGCTCAACACTCGCTCTACCCAGTTCTCTCCTGCCCCCTACTGTTTCATTTGAGAGCGTTTTGGCCTTTGTAAGAGTCGGGTTGCCTGGTGCTCATTTTGCTTCATGACTCATTAATGTCACTGGAGCCACAGACAAGCACATCTGTGTTCATCCATGAATGGGATTCTGTGACCTCGGCTCTGCCCTTAGCTTGGGTAGCTGCTTGCAGTCCCAGCGCTATGACACGTGGGTCTGTGCACGTCATTGCAGTGTGCTTACCAGCAAGGAGACGGTTTCAGCTTGAAATAACAGAGGTGAACAGGCTTAGCAGTTGGCTTCTTGCAATTCTTTATTGTGACAATTGTTTTCATGGCAGGAACAGAATGCTCCTTTTGTGGCCATGTGCAGCCTTCCTGGTGTGTTCATGCACACCAGACCTGGGTCTCTGAGCCGGTGTCCTTTCCCTGCCCTTTCTAGTTCAGGGTCCCTTCTTTGCCCATGTGATAACCTTGTTCCCTCTGCCTTGTCCCAGTTCCATGTCTGTGACAAGCTTGGAGGATGAGTTGCAAGCCAGCATCCAGAGGAGTCATCCTGAATTACAGCGCGTGTACTTTAACAAGGGCCTGTGAAGCCACGATCAAGCCCTGGAGGCTCCGGCTGTCATCTGTGGACCTCCCGAAGCCACAGCAGTGAGGAAATCCCGTGTGACGGACACTCCCAGTTACAAAAGCCTCTAAAAGATCTGCATTAGAATCAAGCTGCCCCTTGACACAGCCCCCAGTGCGGGTCAGGAGCCTGACATTTGAATCATATTGTAATTTACAAACATACCCTTCTGGTAGACTTTAATGACATCATTTGTTCAAAGCTCTCACCTGGAGCTTTCTAAAGCACTGGTAGACACAGCTAGGTGCTCCGTAAACATGGTTGTCAGTCATTGGAAAGGTTACCTGTGCAAATACCGATTTCATTTCCATTTCTGCCGTGAACTGGGAAATCCACCAAAGGTCTAAGACTAACTACACAAGCGTAAATACCAAGGAAACTTTGTCTCTGGTTTGGCAGTGGACCAGTCCAAAGCAGATGGTGAGGAGACTTGAGGTTCAGAGGGTAAACACTCCATACACCTTCCTGAAGTCAGCCACAGAGCAGGGTATGAAGCCGCCCCTGCAGCTGAGCATGTGTTCGTGGTACTGGATTCTCTTGGTTAACTTTCCAGTTTGTCTAATGTTCTTATGAAATTACTAATATGACCTCAAAGGTATTTAAGAATCATGAATTTCCATCAAATAATTAGCCGAAATGCCCAAATGCTAGGTTTAGGAGTATATTGGGTTTTTTTTAGGACCGTGAAACCATAGTTCCCAGTCCCTATCTGCCTCTCCCCTTGTGTGTGTGTTTCGGGAAGATACAGAGACAATACATGAACAAGTCAGCAACAGTGAATGTCCTGTTGCATTCCACTCTGTTTGAAGACCCCGAAATGACGGGGCATGTCCACATCTCTCTAGGGATTTTACATGCTATCTGTTCAGTGTAGCTGAGGTCGTGTTGGAAGTCCATAGATGTTCCGTGTCATAGACGAGCTACCTGTTACACTGAGTGTCAGTCATTCCAATTCAGAGGTTTGTAAGTGGAAAAAAAGGAGCTACCCAGTTTCTGTAGATCCTTTTTCCCAGTAATGTGTCCAGACTGAATTTCCTCATAAAGAAAAACTGGTGTGCCTTGTGTCTGTGTTTCTGTTTTCTCTGAAAGGATGTATGGATCTGAAGCTCTCAGCCCTCCCCGTGCTGCTGGAATCTTCTGTAGAGTTGAATGCCAAGCCACTTGAAATACAATGGCTTCCTGTGACATTCTGGCCTTGGATGAGCCTTGTTGTCCTCGGTGCATCTGTGTATATGGTGGGGAGAGCTTGGAGCTCAAGGCAGGGCTCACAAGGTGCTTACAGGACGTTTCCGCGGGAAGCTAAAGGCCTTGAGGTCCGCCCCACCCAGCTCATCCCTGAGCCCTCACCCCAGTGCACACTCAGCTCTGAGAACGTGCAAACTCAGTAGCTAGTGGGGAGAATGACACACTCACCCAAGTGGCAGCCCAGGTGTACCGAGGAATGCATAGTCGATGTGGAGCTGGGCTCTTTTCGATTTGTTTTTGAAGTTTCGGCCTCTTAATGCTTTTGTATAGGAATACTCACTGTGTGGTTTAATCATGATTATTAATCATAATTATTATAAAAAAAAAGAACAAATGAGCGAAAATTGGCAACCTTTGCTGGTCTTTTAAAAGCCTGTTTTTTTCTGAAGACACAGCCACACGAAGTGCAATAAGGTTGTAAGGTGACTAGTTAACATTTCTTCAATGTGAGACAGCGTCGTGTGCGGCTGACTAGCAGCTATCAGTATTAGTGAGGTGTCCTGCCAATGTCACAGCCAATGTGTCATTTCAGTTTAACTGGATAAAATGTCAAATAAATGCAGAATGAAAATAAACTCTCTTTTATTTGCATGCAGTTTGAGTGTGACAATCCGTGTTGCCTTTCATCTGTGCTTTATCAATAACTCTGAATGCAGTGCTCTGTGTGACCGCCTGTCTCTTAACAAATAGTGTGTCTCTCTGCTTTAGGTTGCTGGGCTTCCACCCTCTTGAACCTCACAGGGACCCCTGTGAGACAGTACCCTGTCTTCATAGCAGACATGCTCTTAGACCCCCAAAGGAGCCCTGGAACAGGTCCCTTTGAAGAACAGTTGTTAAATTTCATTGATGAGTTAAGCACAGCAAGTTTAACAGTGATAACAAGCAAGAAAGGTAAATGATGAACTAATTTATACATGAGTTATTTAAAACTTATGGACTAGAGAGCCCACTCAGGAGTTGGTTTGCTCAATATACCTGTTGTTACACTTTTTTCAGTTCAGCTTGATCTGGCTTACTTATAGTCGCGATGGGGGCGGGGGGGGGGGGGGCTCCCTCTATCTTTCCACCAGACATGATCGACTTTCTACTCAGGGAAGTCTATTTCCCAGCCACTGTCTAAAGAGGTACCGGGTGTCTCTTCCGGGTATCTAGAACCCCAGGATCCCCTGCCAGGCCACACCATGCCAGGGCAAGAGCAGAGACAGTCACTGTTGCAAGGAGCCTTTGGGTTCGGAGACTACCAAAGGCTACCCCACCTCCACTGCTCAACCCCAGGTTACTGAGTGAGTTGCCTGCCCTAGTCTTCGATCTCTAGCACAGGCTTGGAAATGGGCAGTGCCAGGTCTAAACCCAACCCTCAGTAACCTCTGGGGTATCTGCTGTAAAATGTATCCATATGCCTGGCCTCATTGCATGCTAGGTAAGCAGCCAAATGGCCACCAGAGGGCACTCTTGACTTCAACATCCTCCATCATCCACCAGCGTTTCCACCAGTTTATGGACAAATTGTCTGAGCTCCCTTATGTGCAGGTTTGAGGGTTCTGCTCTCCGGTTCCTCCTTCTGTAGTCAGTGCTCGATATGGCAGGTCTCTCGTTTGCTAGGGTTGCGATGTTTCCAGACACCCTTTCATCTGGGGACTTGGACCCTAAGCCCTATGCGCCCCGATGGAGCCACCCGAGTCACAGGCATCCCCACCCTTTCCGCGAACCGTGCCTTCCCCTTCCCCTCCTACACAGTCCCATGTTCCACCCAGTGGCCAGCCTCCCCCTTTACCTGCCCTTCTCCCTCCCCCTTCAGGACAAAGGTCCATCCTCCTCCCTCTTGACCTTCAGGACAAAGGTCTCTTCCTCTCCCTCCTCCTACTGCCTCTCCTTCATCATCACAGGCCCTGCTCCAACCCCCCCCCCACAGTGCCACAACCTTCACCCTGGTCCCAGTCAACACACCAGCCTACCCCTCTCCACTCCTTCCCTGTGGCTTCTCATTCATGGTCTTGGCAGACTCCTCCCCTCCTCTGCCCCCTCCGTGAAGTGGCCAGAGCCGATGGAATTGTCCAAGTCCACGTCCCTTTCTCCCTCCGGGACCTCTCACAGACTGAAGGTTCTGCTAATCTTTCTGCCTGTATCAAAGACTTCGTCATCTTTCCTATGACCTGACCTGACATGATGTTTATGTCATCCAGGTCCCCGCCCTCACTCCCAAGCTCAGATGGGTTCAGGCAGTGGCTACACAGTATGCAGACCAGAGCCACCCAGTAGACAATATGGTCCCTGTGGGAGACATGGCAGTGCCAGCTATGGAACTCAACTGGGATTACCAACCAGGTCAAAATGGCTGCCAGGGGAGGGATTTCAGGTATGGAGATGGCCTCGAACAAAGTTGTTTATTTTGACAAGCTCCACAAGATTACATAGCAAACTGACAAAAATTTGGCTGTTTTCCTAAAATGATTACAAGAGACCATGATCCAATATACCTGCCTTGACCCAGCCTTCCCTGCTGGAGCTGTGGTCCTGGCCAACTGTTTCATTTCTCAGTCACTGACAGATATGAGAAAGAAACTTAAAAAGGCTGAGGATGGTCCCCACTCAAGAGTTGGTGAAAATGGCTTTTAAGGTTTTTAATGCCTGAGAGGAAGTGCCTGAGTTTTCCCAGCAGCCTCAGCTGCAACACAAGGCCACACTCTAAGCTCAAGTGTTAACGGCTGTCCTGAGGCCAGTGGTACTCCCACAGAGGGAACAAGGGAAATCCACAAGGCTCCATCCCACTGGGGCCTGCATCACATGTGGCCAGGAAGGCCGACTGGTCCCCAGGCTACCCCAACCCTCAGGCACCATCAAGCCACAGCCTGTCTGCCAGCAGCCCAGCCAGCAGAAGTTAGAGAGCCACCACATGGGCTCATTCTCCGTGCCATGCCACGGAGGTCAGTCCCCACCAGTGCAGGCATCTGAGACTCTTCCAGCCTCTGAGCTCCTCAGCCTGGTGGCTGACTGACGGCACGCAGACTCAGAGACTCCCATAAGACTCGCTGAACCCTGGGTAATGCTCCAGGTAGCAAGTAAATCCATCACCTTCCCAGTGGACACAGGAGCCACCTTTTCTGTCCTGACCTCTCACTCAGGTCCCATGGTTCCCTCCTTTCCTCAATGATTTCTGTCACTTTATCCCTGACTTTGCCATCATGGCCAAGTCCCTGTACCAGGCATCCCAAAAGACCCCCTTACTCACCCAGCCACCTTTACTGTGGGATAACCAGCTAACAGTCCCTACCCTGTCTCTCCTGAATTCCCCCACCTCCTCTTTACAGACAGAAAGATGGGAGTGGTCACAGGGGTTCTAGCCCAACCCATTGGGCCCTCACATTGGGTTTTTGCTTTCTTGCCCAAACAGCTAAACCCCACCGTGTATGGATGGCGGCCATGTTTGAGAGCCCTAGCAGAGGTGACCAAACTCACCTAGGAAGCCCTCATGATCACCCTGTTTCAGCCAATCTCTGTGTACTCCACTCATCTTCTCTCAGGCCTTCTGGATCATTCTTTCTTTTCCTCCTCGGGCCCTCATGGATCCAGGTCTTTCATTTATTATTTCTAGATAAACCCCAAATTACCCTGGCCTCTTGCCCTGTCCTAAATCCTGCAACCCCCCCTTGTCCCTTTCTCCTCTGATGCCCCCCCTCACTCCTGCCCAGGGCTGTGGAAGCCTTATGCTCACTCAACTTGGTCTCCTAGAGCAAACCTTCACAGACCCCAGCTCACCCTCCTTGTTGATGAAAACTCTCATACACAGATGGGGAACCTGCCAGGCAGCCTATGCAGTGATTGCCTCCACTAAAATGGTTGAAGCAACCCATCTGGGAATAGCTGAGAAGGTGTGTTATCCCTGGGACTCTGGCAGGGGGCGAGGGTGCGACTGTAGCCGCCATCAAATTGGTCCACACCCAGCCTCTTCCGGAGCAGGATAGAGTTAGACAGAGGTGATCCATTGGAGTACGTACTGTCCTTTTTAAAGAGATGTGAGGCTGAGGAGTGGATTGGCATGTGTACTGGCTGGTTTTCTGTCAACTTGACCCAAGCTAGGATCAGGGAGAAAGGAGCCTCAGCTGAGGAAATGCCTCCATGAGATCCAGCTGTAAGGCATTTTCTCAATTAGTGATCCACGGGGGAGGCCCAGCTCATTGTGGGTGGTGCCATCCCCGGGCTGCTGGTACTGAGTTCTCTAAGAAAGCAGACTGAGCAAACCCTGTGAAGCAAACCAGTAAGCAGCACCCCTCCATGGCCTCTGTCTGCATCGGCTCCTGCCTGCAGGTTCCTGCCCTGCTTGTGTTCCTGTCCTGACTTCCTTTGGTGATGAACAGCAATGCTGAAGTGTAAGCTAAATAAACCCTTTCCTCCCCAACTTACTTTTTGGTCATGGTGTTTCAATGCAGCAATAGAAACCCTAACTAAGACAGCATATCTAGTGTCACTTGGTCACTGAGCCTCTTGACCCATATCTGCCCAGCTCTTCCCTATCTGTAGTGACAACGTAACGGGCCATGGTGCTGCACTCTCCACAGTAACTCCCATTATCGCCATTAAACATAAGAATTGTCATAAGGAAGTGATAATGACCAAAATAACAATAATCATCATCATCATAATCATAATAATAATCATTATCATAATAATGTGAAGGCATAAGTCACAAACAATCCCACATCAGTTTGTAATTATGATTAATAGAATGGTTATTTATTTAAAGGGGAAAACTTACAGATCACCGTCCCAGACAACAGCCCTCTGCACAATCAGGAAAGGAGCCTAGTCGCCGGAAGTGGAGCCGGAAGCCAGAGAGAAAGAGCAGAGGGAAGTGGCCGCTTTTTTAAAGGGAGAGAGACCACACCCCAATGGGCTAGTATCTCAGCTGCTATTGGCTGAGGGAGTGGAAGGAGCTCCCGCAACAATAATGAAGCAAGAAAATATTCCAAGGCTAAGGAGATGGCTCAGTCTGCAATGTCCCTACCATACAAACACGAGGACCTGAGTCCTGACCCCAGAACCCACATAAAAAGCCAGGTGAGGTAGGCTGCGCCTATAATCCCAGTGCTGAGGAGGCAGCTAGGCAGGCAGGTAGGTCCTTGAATCTCATTGGCCGACCAGCCTAGCCTAACCAGTGACTTTAGATTCCCTGAAAGACCCTGTCTCAAAGGATAAAGGCAGAGAGCAACCAAGGAAAGATACTCCAAGTCCACTTCTGGCCTCTGTAAGCACAAACGCACATGTGCACATACACACATGTACATGCACACACAATAGTAACAAGTGCACACAGCACATAACACGCCAAAAGTAAAAAATTAGTTTCCCACAGACCTTACCTGAAACATCCAGAAGACCTTGAAGGGTCTGCTCACATGGATACAGGGTTTCAGTGCACACCCAGTCAAACACCCAAGTTTAGCATGGCCATGTCCCATACATAGTGGGGCAATAGGATCAATGGTTGTCAGAGGGTGGTCCCTGGAACACAGTGCCCCATCCCTGCAGACTGAGAACTGCTTCTTGACTCAGGTGATCCCAGGCAGCTTTTAGCAACCCCCCTGAGGGTTCTGACAG